AGAGAGCAAACAGAACAGCAATTTGGTATGTTTTCTTTTTTGTTGGTTTTTTTTTCCCCCTTTGGCTTGAACCATCAACATTTATTTCTTGTGGTTCTGGAGGGCGGGAGGTCCACAATTAAGGGGCAAGAGATCTGGTGTCTAGCGAGACCCTCTTCCATGTTTGCTGATGGCTCATCACTGTATCCCCATGTAACAGAGACAGAGCAAGCTCTGTTGTGTCTTTTTATAAGGGCCCTAATAGCATTCGTGTGGGGTCCACCATGTAATTTAATCACGTTCACTTCCCCAAGACCCCCACACACACAGTGTCATCACCATCCAAGTTAACTATCTGACCAAGATGGAGGCTTATTTCTCTGTCGTGAGAGTCTGACCTGGTATAATGACCCTGCTGCATGAGGGCAGCAGAGCTCTGGGTTTGCTTTGTCTTGAACTCTCCTGGGATGCTGTCCTCATCCATGTGGTCCACTAGAGTCTCCCCCAACACACCAAGTGCTCATTCTAGTGAACAGGAAGGGGAAAGGATGGGAGGGATCTGCGATTTAGAAGTTGTGTATATCCCTGTGGTCACCTCTGCTGTGGTCCGGGTGTGCTCCACAGCCCAAATTCATATGTGGAAACTTAATTGCTAATGTGATAGGATAGGAGGCGGGACTTTAGGAGGTGATGAAGACACAGGGACAGAGCCCTCATGAATGGGTGCCGTGGTCTGAATAATGCTCATGTGCTGGAAGCTTGGTTTCCTGTGTGGTGAGACCCTCCAGGGGTGGGGCTCAGTAGAAAGTAATTAGGATATTACTTCTAATGGGGCTGTGTCCTCATGAATGGATTCATACTGGTCTTACAGATGGTTTGGATCTGGTAGGAGTGGTTTATTTCCTGTGACAGTGGGTTGTTGTAGTCAGGGGTTACAAGGAGAACAATAAGGACACAAAATTTATAAGATTATTTATAATGGTCACCCAAAGAGTCATATACAAAGGAAATCTGTTCACACACTAAAGACCTAAAGAGGGCCTGGATCCCATGGCAGTGTCCTGCATGAGTCCAGCTGAAGACCTAGAGCCCATAACAATGCCTCGCTCGAGTTCACCTGGAGGCCAAGAGCCCACGAAGATGCCTCACGCAGCCCTGCCACAAGGGTCTGTGCTGAGAAGGCCATAAGGTCAGTGGTGGAAGCTAGAAAGTCTGTGCCAGCGGGATGAAGGATCTGCGCTGGCAGGCTAAGGGATCTGCACTGGAACTGGGAAGCAATGCTCCAAGAAAGAACAAGAGCTCCCCTGAAAACTACCACAGTCATCCTCAGTGACAATGAGTCCCAACTTCTCCAATGGTGAGAACAGCTGAGTCTATATCAGGAAAGCCAGCATGACAAGCTTCTCCAGGAGACTGAGCAGTGCACCATCTTCCCCTCCGGAGCCAGGAAGCAGTGCTCAAAGTAAGGACCAGGGCTCCCCCAAAGTGAACCATAGCCATTCTCAGCAACAACAAGGTCCCAAGCTCCTTCACCAATGAGAACAGCCAAGTTCATCAGGAAAGCCAGCAGGACAAGCTCCTCCAAGAGAACCAACAGCCCAGGAGAACCAACAGCTCCCAAAAGCTTCTCTTCTTCCCCTCCAGTTATGGCTCTTATGCTGCTGGCAACAATCCTCAGGTAGTCCGGGCCTCCCACACCCAGCACCAGTTCAGCTGGTGCTATAGCTTCAGTTCAGCTGGGTGTTACAAGTTGACCACCAGTTGTCAATCCACCACATGGATTGATACAAAAAGAGGAAGTTTGGTCCTCTCTTCTTTCTTGCTTCTTGTCTTCCTATTCGACCTTTCTCTTTCATGTTTGCATCCTCCCATCCCATCCTACATGAGGTACTCACCAGAGCTGAGCAGATGCAGGCATTATGCTCTTGAGCATCCAGAACTGTGAGATGAATAAGCCTCTTTTCTTTATAAAATACAAAGCCTCAGGTATTTTGTAATAGCAACACAAAACAGACTAAGACAACAAGGTTAGAAATCTTATGAAAGAGGTTGAAGGGAGAACCCTAATTTCTTTTATTTCTCCCCTTTCATCGTCTCAAGAAGCCTCTGTCTTCAAAGCAGAAAGCAACCCTCAGCAGACAATGAACCTGTAGGAACTTTGGACTTCTCAGCCTCCAGAAATGTAAGAAATAAACTTCTGTTGTTTATAAATTACCCTTCTCAGGTATTATATTTATAGCAGCCCAGACAGACTAAACCAACCTCCCTTTGGCTAAACCTTGATCATGTACACTTAGTTGGAAGGAGGCTGGAAAATGCAGTTTGTATTCTGTTGGCTAAAACTTAGGGCTTCTTTCACAAGGAAGAAGGGATGCATGAAGATAATCAGTCATGTCTGCCACACCCTGACTCCCCTCTTTGAGGGGTAGAGGTAGTTGTACCCTCTTTGTCATCCAGAGGCCCAGACCTGTGCCCAGCAAGGTTGATGACTACGTGTGTTCAGCTTCTGTTTTCCTAAATCACGACTCCAGCCCATCCCAGTAGACATGGGCAGTGTGGTTTGTGCTTGAAAGCTGCCTTCTTCCATGTAGCCAAGATGCCTCTAGCACCACATTCTCCAGTTCTATGGACCCACTTTCTATCCCGCAGTGTTGGGGAGCGTTCTGAGGTGGGCATTTTTCTCTCCTGACTCAGTGTGTGCTCTGAAGCCCCTGGTCCTCCTCACGGTCCCCACCGTGCCTGCTTCCACTCTCTGTACTGCCTCTCTCAGCTGAGGTCAGTCTCCTGCTTCCTTCTTCCAGATGTACCAAGCTCCCCCGGCCCGTTCTGGAGCAGATGTGGAATCAGGCTCAGGAGAAACAAACAGAGGGCAGGGGCAGAACAAGATGCAAGATGACTCCAAGGCATATTCACAAATCACCTCCTCAGAAGGGGGGCTGGTGGTTCTGAAGGGAGCTCCTCATTAGCAATGTTCTTCTGTTGGTCCCTATTTACCCCATGGCACATTATCTCCGGGTACCAGACAGCTCTTCTGTTCTCATCCATTCCTGGGTCCTCTCTCTATCTCTCTCTCTCTCTCTCAATCTCAATCTCAATCTCTCAGGCTTCAACTTGCCATCCTCCTGCCTCAGCCTCCCATAACAAGACTGTGCATTGGCATACTCAGCTTCAGCTTTCCCTTCATCTCAGCCTTACCATCCTGTGGGCAGGGGCACCAGGAACCCTGTTTCCTACACCTTAACAGTCCATCGCTGTGTTTCCTTAAGAAAAAGAACTCAAAACTGCAGAGTGGTACTCCTTCCCTGGAAGGCAGAGGAGGCTAATGCTCATTTGCATGTTAAACACTCAGTTTTTCTCCTCTCTGCCGAGTAAGCCCTCATTCAGGCGCTGCAGTTGCCCCGGGGGGAGGGGAGGCACCTGAGGCCTAGAGGCCTTGAGCCACCTGTTGCAGCTCATGGAGTGTATGAGGCCAGACAGGGCCACAAGCTGGGTTCCAATGTCCTTGCCTTCCGGGAAGCTGCTGCATTCCATTGGGCCACCTCTGCGGCTCTGTGATGTCTCACTTCTTTCGCCCCATTTCCTAACCAGACTGGGTCCCTGGCAGCCGCACGAGGGCATACTCTCCTGCCAGCCCATGCCCAGGTCAAACTGCTTGCAGGACACTCTTCTTGGGCGCACCCTGCCTAACAGTGTGTGGAGCGCACCTGCCGGACTCAGGCTCAGAACCCCGTAGGTCCCGTGCTTGCCCACTGACAGGGTGCGGTCAGCCCGCAGTTGGGTGGGGAGAGGCTGGCGGAGGACTGGAGCTGAATGGCTGCTTTCTTCTTCCAGGGCCGCCTCCCCACCAAGCGGTCACTGATTAACCCTTCAGACCAGATAACCCCTCCAGGAGAAGAAAGCATGTGCTTATCCTGGGTTGTAAAACATCAATATTGACTTCTCAGCTACAAAGCCAAAGAAAGGGGAGGTGGTGCTGCAAGGCAGGCTTGCCTGACACTCCTGCGACACCCAGAGAACTTGTGATCTTTCTGCCCCAGCCTCCTGGTGCACCGGCCCCCTTCCCTGTGAGAACATAAGGGGCCAGACCTCAGTATCTGAAGGTGTCACATTCGCACTCCCTTCCACTTCAGGGGCCTTCCTGAGCCGGGCTGGGGGGCACTCCGTCATCCCCTGCTGCTTGGGGCCCCTTCCCTCCCTACACCCAGTGCAGCAGGTAACAGAGCCACACAGGCCCAGGCTCCGGGCTCAGACTGCCTCCTCTCTGCTCTTCCCTAACTCTGGGACTTGGAGAAGCGATCACTTGCGCCTCAGTTTTCTTATTTGTAAAGTGCCATGGCGCCAGCACCAGCACAGGCTGTTTAGGAATATGAGAGGGAAGCACTGACGCTCAGCAGCCAGTGCTCCTGTGATCCGTCTGTGGAGTGATCAAAACGCATGGTGGATGTTTACGCTGTCACAGAATACTGCAGCACAGGACACACGGCATTGCCCTCCCTCACCGCCGCCCCCAAAACAGGACAGTCACCGTATTTTTGATCACACCCCGTAAGGACAGGACAGAGGACTTCCAGGACTGCTTCAGCAAGTAGCAAGAAGGATGCAGCGTGTTTGAAGTGAGAAGCAGTCTTCTGAGGGGGCTGTGTGGCAGTGTCTTTTACTGGAATAATTTGTAAAATTTTAAACAGGTGCCATATTTTCCAGCCCTACCTCTTGTTCATCTCTCTCCCCCTTCGCCTCCTGTCTAGTTTGCACATTACTGCATGTCCTCTTGCTGGCTCCTGTCCAAGCTCCGCTGAGGTAGCCGTGGGATGGACAGTGCCATATTCACCCAGGCCAGAAGCCAAGGCCAGAGTTTTCATCCTTCTGGCCCAGAATGAGTCAACCCCCACACACCCACTCTTCCTGTGGGGAACTTGTGGCCACCGCTGCTCCGGGTGGGACCTCTGGGTGGGACCTCTGGGCGGGGACCCAGCTATGTACTCCTCAGAGAACCTCACATCTCCCTCTTGGGCTCTGCACTCTGTACCCCCCACCTTCCTCTTTGGGAAAAAGATCTTTCTTTGGCATGGAGAGGCACAGCATGGAGCATGCCCAGCTGAATTTCCAGACATGCTGGGGACTTCCCGCAGCTCCTCCTGGGCTCAGGGAGTGCAAGCAGGCTTTGGAATCGCCTCGATCCTCACCTGGGCCAGCACCCTCCACTCTCCAGGCTTTTCCTCCTCCCCAGGTGAGCCCCACCTAAGCCTCACCTCATGGTGCTAGAGGCCAAGGCCCCAGCCCTTAGCAGCCTCCTCTGGGCTGGCCAGAGGGGTTCAGTCCCTGGCACCTGGTCAATGATTAACACTGAGCAAACTCCAGCCACAGCCAGGCCTCCCAGCAGGGTGAGGAGCAGACAAAGGCCCTCTTGTCCAGCTGGGCTTCCATCTTGGTGGGAGGTTCCTGAGCTTGGTCGATTCAGGGTGACAAACACCCCATCCCCAGCAGGGAGCTGGGTGGAAGTGGGTTCTGGAGGAGGAGGAGGACAGAGGAGTGTTTGGCCACAGGCTCGTTGCTAAGCTGCGGCTTCATGTGTTGAGCATGCCTGACAGGGTGTCCTGCTGAGGGGGTCCCAAGCCGGGCTGCTTCCTCACCCACCTGCTTCAGGGCTAATGTGGAGGTGGCCATCTGCCTCTGAGAGAAGCTCCCAGCTCCTCCTTCCTTCTTCTCCACAGCCCTGCCTTCCCAAACCTAGACTGTCTCTCTGTGCCAGCCCCATGTCCTGCAGTATCGCTCCATCCCTTAGATCTTCCGCTGTGTCTCACTGCCTTTCCTGGAAATGGCCCCATCATCCTGGAAGCCCTTCGTCTCACTCCATCCTGTCTCCTTCCTCCCCGACAGGTCCTCAGGAGCCTGCCCTGATCCATCCCTTGGGACCTCTATCCAAACCCATGCCTTTGGACATCTTTTACCTCATTGAGGTTTGCGCTGCAGCTCTGCAGCTGGAGCCAGGACTCCCACCCTCAACCATGCACAAGGAGCTCCCTTGGGAGGTTGCTCAGCAGTGTCCCTCAGCCGCACACCAGGCAAGGAGTTTCCCGAGGTGTCTCTGGTACGAGAAATGCAAAGTATAAATAAAGAGCAAGGTAGAAGATAAATAATAGGAAACAGACATAGATCTTTGCAAATGGGAACAGGACCAAGAGATGGCGGGAGGGGAGAGGGAAGAGAGGGAAGGGGCAGGTGGAAAGAATGAAGATGTGTTCAGTACATGTACCAATTCCCCTTGATACTTCCCACTATTTTACAGAACAGCACCTCAGGAGACAATTCTGCATCAGTCAAAGTTCCAGGTACACAGCAGAGCTTCCGAAGCTGTCCTTGCCAGCCCTGGCCTCCCTCCAGCTGGCTGCCCAAGATGGCCAACCACCCTTCACCACCATCTCCTCCTTCTCCCAGCTACTCCTGCTTTTGGAGCAGACAGGACGTTTCTGGCTGCCCACTGATCCAGCCTTGGGCATAGTCCCTGCCCCCTCCTGGCCCCTCTTCGCTGTGGCAGCCCTGCCCGCTAGCTGCCAGGTGCCAGGGCCTGCCCCTCCTGTCCCCTCAGGTGCCCACTCGCCTCTTCCCTCCTTCACCCTTCCTCTGTCACTGCCTTCAGCACCAGTCCACCCATGTCTGCCCAAGCTCACCTTGCACAAGCTCCACACCATCTTCCTGCTCCACACCAACTCCCCACAGTTCAAACTGACCCGCTCTTTCTGGGAATTCTGTGCGGAGCACACCTTCACCCTCAGGCAGACTGGGAGTGACATGCTGCTTTTTAGAAAGCTGAAATGGAATTAGGGTGTGGGGACCCCAAACACCCTGCACCCATGCCCTGAAGGGAGGAGTGGGTGACCACTTGGGTGCCCCCTCTGTGATAGCAGACAGCCCTTCGGAGGCTCTCTGCCTCATTCGTCCTCTCATTCATCAGTGAGGAGTCTAAAGCCTGCGGCTGCTCTCGTTAAGGAGTCCAGAATCGGGGGTGGGCAGGCTGGCGGCTGTGTATCCTCAAGCGAGGCAGCACCTCTGACCTGCCACCATGCCCCCCATCAGACCTTCTCCTTCCCTCTCCTCCCCTCTACCACAGACGCTTCTGCCCCTAAGACTCCACCTAGAGACTGCGGGCTCCTTTGGATTTTCACTGGATGATGCTCCTTCAGCCCCCGTCTGCTCCTTCCAGGGCTCCTTCTGCTCTGGGCATCCTCTGCCTCTGCCTCCTGCTGCTCCCAGTCGGACACCGCTGGACTCTCAGGTTGTCCAGGGCTAAAGACTAGCAGCTAGGAGGTGCCAGGAACGTTCGCTGGTGCTGACAGCTGATGATGTATGTTGTCCTTCATCCCCCGAGCCCACCCTGACATCGGTAAACATCCCCGGTCCCCTTCTAGCTCCCCTTCCTACCAGCTAGGGGCGCAGAGCATCCCCTGAGGGCAGCAGAGGGGAGCACTGGGGGTTGGGGGCTGCTCAGAGATGACCCCCACAGGGATACCTCACTGCCAAACATGTCCCCCTGGGCTGGACCAGGAGCTCCGTTGCCTGTGACATGGCCTCCAGGGGAGCCAGTGCTCCTGACCCCTCAGCCTGAACCCCAGCTGAGAGCAGGAATGGAGGGGTGGGCTCAGGGGGAGGGGACAAAGGGGAGAGGTGGGAGGGTTTGGGTGAAGCTGACACGTATGCAAGAGGAGGGGAGCGGGTAGGGCAAGCTGAGGGGAGAGCGTCTCTGACACTGCAGGGAGTTGCCAGGCCCCTCAATCCGATCCCAGCAGGATGGTGGAGAGAATAACCCCCACTTCGGGAATCACAGCAGATTTTGGGCTGCAGGACATGGACTTAGTGTGGGTCGTCCCACAGCAGCCCTGCCTCCTCTCAATGGCCAGAGGGCCAGAAGGCCAGCTCCTTCCTCCTCCTCCCCTGGCAGTTCCACACCAGGCCAGGGACCTGGAAACCAGCACGGGCCTCTCATTTTGGGCTGGACCTCACCAGGCTCACTGCGCCCAGCTCAGCGCCCTCTCCCCTGCTGCCTGTGTCCACAGCCTCCTGCACGATGACCACCCTGCCGGGGCTCCTCAGGGCTCCCTCGACCCCCCTGGTGCCCCAAGAAAGCCGGGTGCTCAGGCCGTGAGAGGCGCTCTGGGAGCAGGACAGGGTTGGGGCCTGGCCAGGCCAGCTGCTGGGGCAAGAGCTCTTCCAGGGGGAGTGGCTCAGTCTGGGACCTGGGTTAGCCGAGCTGGGCTGAGCTGGCCAGCACTGGACTCTCTCAGGTTACCCGGGGACTGCTCATTCTCATGACCTGTCTCTCTTGTCCCTCCTACCCTGCTTCTGCGCTGCCCTACACCTCTCCTCCCATACGTGCCCTTCCCGGGATCTCCCGACTGCCCCGGGATCTCCCAGAGCCCGTCCCTGCACGGCCTTGCCGTTTTTTCCTGGAAGAATCCAAGCCCCCTGCCCCTCCTGCCCTCACAGCTGCCCCTCTGGCCTTCCTCGATTGGCCCTCCCACGCTCTCCTGGGTGCCTGCTTCCCACCCGCCACCACAGGGCCAGGAAACCCACCCCTGCCTCTGCTGCTTCTCCACCCTTGGTAGAAGCCGCTCAGACCTCGTCTCCAGGCCAGCCCCAGCCCTGTCCCCCTGAGCTCCCTGTGAGGAATCACAGTCCTCCCGCTCTGTCTGCACTCACCGCCCTGTACAGATGATGCCTCCAGGCCCAGGCCCTCCCCACTAAACTGTGATCTTGCTGAGGACAAGGACCTGGGCTTCATCTCTGTAGCCCCAGCCCCCCTGGGGGTAATGCAGAAATGAATGAATGAATAATAAATAAATCTGTCGCCTGGGTTGATAGCCCAGAGAAACGGCATGCTGACCAAGCAGGGGACTAAGCGGCCCAGTCCCAGATTTCCTGCTCTCTCCTCCCTCTCTGAGTTTGATCCCCACTGGACCACCTGCTCTGGAATCCCTCGGGCCAGCGCAGGTCCCTAGCAGCCCCTCCAGGCTCTTTTCCCACCTACTCCACACACCCCTGTTGCCAGCTCCCAAAGGCTTCCTCCTCCTCCGGTCTGCAGGCACCAGGCCTCCTCCTGCAGGAAGGCAGGAAGCACCCCCCACCAGGGCAGGACCATGCGCAGGGCTGTTCCACCCATGCTCAGAAAGCTCCCTAGCTGCCTGGCTCTCTCTGTCCTCAGAAAGTGCACGTCACTTTGCTCAGGCCTGGCGGGCTGTGGTGTTTGTGGGGGGTGTTTCTTCCAACCAGCAACACCATGACCTTTATATGAGCCTGGACTCTGTGGGGAAGGGTGGCTCTCCAGGCTGGATTGTCACAAAACACATTGAGGCTTCTGCCTTGCTCATTCAGATGCCTTACCTAGAGGAAGCCACGCGGCCTACAGAGGGTCCCTGTGCTGAGGCTCGAGGTCTCCTGCCAGCACCAGGACTGGGAATCAGGGTCTACATCCAGTGTTCAGCCCCAGTGACACCTGAACCCAGCGACACCTGGACCACAGTCTCACGAGGGACCCTCAGTAGAACCCCCACCTCATGTTCACTAATTCCTGACCCACAGGAAGAGTGTGAGTTAGTATGCACCTGTCGAGTTTTGGAGGAATTGATTATGCTACCACAGATAATTAGTGCAAAGTTTGGTGGTTTTTTTTTGTTTGTTTGTTTGTTTGTTTTTCCGGTACCGGGAATTGAACTCACGACCTTGCACTAGCCAGGCAGGCGCTGTGCCGCTGAGCTAAATCCCCAGCCCCAAGTTTGGTGATTTTTAATATTGTCAACTCCTCACCAAAAAGCAAAGCCCACTGTATCTCAAAGAAATATCTGATGCCTGGAATGGAAAATGATGCTCAGATGGATTTGTAGACATGGATGCAGCAGGGCTGAAAACACTGTAAGTCAGATGAGTAAAACCAGCACCTTTTAAATTTTTTCTCGAAGAGTTCTCCTCCTGATCTCATAGCTCATTTCCTCTGTTCAACAGGCAGAAACACAAGTGAATGAGTGAACGACTGAATGAATGACATAGTGAGTGAACAGAAAAAAACCAAACAGAACAAATCTTTTAACTTGCCTGTCATAGGTAGCTCCAGTTTTGCACATTTAATTCATTCTCCTTTGGGTAAAATGCTCTGTTTTCCAGGCCTTTCCCATCCTTCCCCTTCTCCTAACCAAGAAAATGTCCTGGTGCAGAAAACCATTTGTGGACCCTACCACAGTAGAAAGAGAGGTCCAGGGTCAGCGGACCTGCTCTTCTGCCTCCAGGATGGGACAGGGCTGGTCCAGCCTGGTCCCGGCATCTCCAGTGTTGGTGGTGGTGGTGTGTGTGTGTGTGTGTGTGAGAGAGAGAGAGAGAGACAGAGACAGAGACAGAGACAGACAGAGAGACAGAGAGAGACAGAGACAGAGAGAGAGAGAATTCCTGCTGAAGTTTGTATTCCCCACACATGGCCTGAGAACCACCCAGCCACATGGACCCATCACACAAGAAAAGTCACAGTTCTGTGAAGCCACTTCCTAAGCCCCGGGATCCACCAATTTTAAATGACTGCCTGACCGGCAGTGCAGTCATTGTGTGGCCTCATCCTGAGTCGCTGTGGTGCTGAGGGGTTCCCCAAACCTCCCATAGCTACAACCTGAAAGTCCAGCCCCACCCGGTGGGGAGGTTTTACCCACTGCTGACCGAGGACTCTTGCTGGGGTGAGGCATGGAGCTGAATTTTGCTGCTCTCCTCCTTGGGGCCTGCTGCTGTCAGTAGCAGCTTCTCACACCTTGGCCCACTCCACGCCTCTGGAAGATGCACTCTGAGCCCACAGAGGGCTGCAGGAGCTGGTGGAATCACTGTATTCCTTCATAAATGCTATCTCATACCGCGTGTAAGCTCACTGCTCATATTTGCATGTGGAGACTGCTGGGAAAGCTGCCACCAAGCCCCTGGGGAGAGAAGGTACTGTCCACAAACCCAGCGGGCCTGACGCAGGGCCTTGCGGCCTTGTCTGAGGAGAACCCCCTTCCGGATGCCTCTGGTTCACTGTCAGGGTGATTTTCCTGATCCATCTCTCCAGGGCCTTGCATGTGAGGCACGGAGGAGGAAGCTCCAGCTCTGGTCAGACTCAACGCTGCCTCCTGCCCAACAGGGCCCTGGGTTGGTGGTTGGGGGAAGACCCAGCTCTGTGCCCTCTGCTAGACCTGGTCAGCTGCTGCAGGCCTCCTCTGTCTGATTTGCTGGCTCTGCCCCTTCCTCAGAGCACCTGCCTCTTCCCCCCCAGCCCGTGTCCATGGGTCCCCCGGCCGAGCTGCGCTCTCTCACCTCTTCCTGTCCTGCCACGGCCTC